GAGCATATTATGATTATCATAGCATCTCACCATGCCCTCTAACATAAACATAGAACCCTGGCAGGACGGGACAAGGGGAGAGATATGTTTACGACGAATTCCTTCGACCTTTCACACACCCTGGCACGAAGTGATAAGGAGGAAAGGAAGAGAAGAACCGAGTGATAATGTAATATTCCCTCCGTATCGGGAGACTCCAATCCATCCGGTCCGCGGTCGAAGCCTCCTTATCGCAAATATATAAATCCCCTCGCGCTTCCTTCGTAATGGCATTCGTGTGTTTCTCCCCGGGTGCTTCTCGCGTTCCCGGTAGTCTCGCTCCTCCGTCCCCTCCGTCCCCTCCGTCCTCTCCGTCCCCTCCTCCGTCCCCCCCTCCGTCCTCTCCGTCCCCTGTCTCGCTCCCGTCACTTCCACCGGAATCTTCTCTTCGGTGCAAGGTACTTACTTTTACGGTTTCGGCAATTTTTAGTATTTTCCATTCATTCGTTTCCTACGAGAAAAATTCGTACGTTTAATGTGCTCGAATACCGTATCCTCTGCCTGCGTTTTACAGTCACGAATTCTTTCAGAAAGTGGTAGGCAAGTCGTGTCGGCCGATCGCAACGGATCGATCGAGCGAAGCCGAAGCGAAACGTACCGTCCGATGTTCGTCGGTTAAATGTATCGTCCTTGGCAGTTCGAAAGAAGTATCTTCGGTCGAGTGACCCTCTCTGGCGTGTAGTAGGAATTCCAAGTCTCTTCTCGTGTCGGGAGTAGGCGTTTCTGATGGCGTCCTTCCCGTTAGAGCGTACGATAAGGGATCCGATATGGCATAGGGGTGTGGCACGAGGGACGCACGGGAGGAAACTCCTCTCCCATCCCATCCCATCCCATCCCGTAGCATGATGGGCCTGGACCGGGCCGATTCCAGTTCACGTCTCCGGGCTACTTGTTACTTGCGGCTGCCCCGATCCAGAGACCGTGAAGCTCGCTCCTCCTCGAGTTGCCACTGATATTCACTGGATCGCGCTGTCCGCCGCGCAGTGTGGTTCCGGCCGCCGAGACCGTGCGTTCCCGTCCCGGATTCCTCGAGGCCTGTGCAGGCGCTTCCGATTCGCCTCTACCGTACGTCTTTCGTGCGTTTTCAAAGCGAACCAATTTTATTTTCTTCTTTTGCCTAATTTTTTAATATCAATTTTCGAGTCGTTTCAGTTGTTTCGGGTCATTTTCAGTTCATGTATTTTTTTTTTTAACCGAGTTTCCTTTCGTACCATCGATGCATCGAACCATTTCCTCATTCGTCGTGGATTCATGGTTGGCATTTCTTTACGATAGCGGCAGTGACAAAAAAAAGTAAATAGCGACTAGAAAGAGTACCATTCTGCTTCGTATCTGCGTGAATATGCGTCACGGACAAAGGTTAACATCCGCGTGAGCCTTTGGAACCGTGGGCTTTTTTTTAAAGCAAAAATCGGATTAGTGTATTTAAACCCTCGAGCCGTTTTCACGTACACCGTACGTTCATCACTTAGGAGGTCGATTCAAAATTCAGCGCTTGAAGGGTTAAATCCATTTCGAAACCGTCCGTACGGTGAATGCGACTGCGAGCGGCGACACGGATGCATGGAAAGGCGACACGCCCTCGGATTCCGATCCGGGGGGACGATCGTCCCCACCCCGGAACGGATACGTTACCCTATACCCGAGCGAAGGCTATCCAGAGTGTAGGGCAGTGTGCCGTTCACTCCGGTTGAGCACTCGCCCGTGGAGGGGGGCAGAGGGATTCGGGATACCACCGGCATGGGACTGCCACTGCCATCTTGGCGGTCGTCATCGAGCGCGGCCCCATACGTGGAACCAGACCGTTCACCAGTTGATGATGCACTCTCAATACTCGTCTCTTCGCGCGCTGCCATTCGCGCACTCTCGAAGATAGACACGGGGTGTTTCATCGTCGTGTGTCCCTCACGGCCCACAGCCAGAGCGAAAGAGGGGCAGACGATAGCAATGTCTTCCTCGCCTCATTTCCTGCTGTCCTCCGGAATTTTTTTTTTTTTTATACACGAACGAAACCGGCTCTCGGCTTCTTCGCGTGGGTGATGTATGATTGCCGGCCTCGAATCTGTATCACTTGGCGCGAACTCTGCCGAAGATTCTTCCTTCTCGCGGTGGCTGTTACGCGAACCCGAGAGGAAACGGAGGGAAAATCTTATGGCCGTAGGTCTTATAGCGAGGACGATAGGTTCTGCTCCACCCTGTGTGCGTGTGCATCGCGCACGCACATGCGGGCACATGTGTCGTTGGGAAGCCTCTATCTTCGTCAGTGTATTGCCCTTCCCACACTCCATCCAGGGGGCTTCATCCCGCATGTGTCAGCACTCGGCGCGGTGTCTGTGTGGGGGGAGCCTTTCTAGCGGCAATCTTTCCAATTAGATCGGCCGACGTTCCTCTCTTTGGCCTCGAGAGGGCCAAAGTCAAAGGGCCAAAAAGTCGATCTCGACTCGCTTCCCCACTGGAAAAAGAGGAAAGAATTCAATCCACGAACGCATGGGAATAGTCCGACTGACGCAGTCCTATTGTCCAGGAGAAGTGGGTATCGGGCACGTGAGTAACGGGACGTAGTGTGCAATAAATAGACTTTGCTCGTCCGTGGGGTGGAAACATAACGAAACGGAAAGAATGGTCGAGCTAGCGTTCGGGAAACCGGGATGGGTGAAAATATATTTCGATTCGACCGAGGATGGCTACGAGGGCAAGGAAACCAGGAATTTGTTCGGAATCGAAGCATCGAAATTTCACGCGCAATTCTTATCTCATCTATTTCGTTCTGGTGGATAAGAGAAACAGAGTGAATCGGTTCGGCCTTTCTCCCTCCCTGAAAAGTGTTATTTTTTCTTTGCGGTGAAAAGGTCTGGTGAAGATCGGAGAGCGTCTGGGCCTGAACCTCTTGGCTCCGAGGAAGAAGATCTTCGTCCTCCTGCTTGGCAATCACTCCGCCGGGAAGAGTAGCTTCATCAACTGGCAAGTCCCTCCGCGTTCTTTCGTCTCCTCGCGTCTCTCTCGTCTTCGTCCATTTCTCGGTTTCGACAGCGTCCTCCTTTTTCGCCTCCCGGATCCGGGAATTCCCCCCGCTCGTTCTTTCCAGGTCCCGTTTGCGAGCCCAATGGCATCCTGGTCTTCCTTTTCGCGTTCGTCGGCGTGACCTAGTTTCATCCTCTATCGTCGTGGTCATTTTCACGCGTTTCTTTTATGAGTTCACGGAACGAGAAGTTTCTGCTCGATTAAGACTATATACAAATCACAATTTGGTTTCACGATAGACATTGTCCGTCTATAAACCCACTCCCCGGGGCGTAAATTGGATGCGATGCAGGGTTCATTACGAGCAGGTTTAGGGGGACACGGGAGGGAGGGCGCCGGAGATATCGCGGGGCAATTTCGCAGGGTTTGTTCGAGTTCTGGCCTTCGCAAGTGTGCCTGTTATGCCGATTGCATGCATTCGCAAGTGTTTTCCTATCCCTTTCCTTGTGCCTGTCGATATCCAGCAGGGTTATTACGTGGCCCCAGAGATCCTGGCCCCCGTCAGGATCTCTTTCTCGTCAAGGTCTTTCGAGAAAGGACTTTGTAAAGAAAGAGAGAAAAAAAAAACCGTTGCACGTGGCTCGGAAAGGATTCGCATGGCTGCCTCGGGGGCATCAAGGTCCATTTTCTCATTCCTCCCAACTTCATTCTTCATCTTCCTTGCACGCCTCCTCATGACATATACGCACACTTTCTGTCGTCTGTCCCTGTTCGTATAAATGCCCCCTTCGTGTGGGGAAGCAAGATAGGACTTTGGTCTAGCCGTGGCTAACCTGGCTTCGCGATTCTCTAATTCCACGCCGATTAGAATTGAAGCTTTTATGTTCATGAGCTGCGATTCCATAACTAATTGATGTTCCCGAACGTGAACGCATGATCATGGAGGTCCTGTTTGGACTTGAGGGTCCCGGAATGGAATCCACGTGCCTGCAATGGATATAATGCCGTTTCGTGCGATGGTGATACGAGGCTCTGGATGGAAGCTTTCTTTGGGGGCAAAGTATTTACAACTTCTGGGGGGCGGTTCAGGGCCGTAGCCATGATTTACTCCAGAGGTGGAGGGTAGTAGCAGCGATCCCACTAATCTGGGGTGGGAGTAGAAAAAGCGTTTCCATCACCGCTCTTCTTATCCCGTACGGGTAATGTACGGGATGACTGTCTCTTTTCAACCTGAATAATTATACCTGTGATGTAACGCATCCCTTCCCCTGGCCTTTCATTAATAAGAACTCACCACACGAAGAGGCTTCTCATTTGGACGAGGGAGAGGGCGAAATTATCATTTGTGTGGCCAATGCCCCCTCCTCGCTGAGGCTGCGGGCCCGGATGCGAAAGAGAGGAAGTACGTGGGGATACCCCATAATAATCACAATATGCACATGCACCATGCTCCCCCTTACACTGCAGTTCGTACTGTGTAGTCCAGATCCATGCCAGATGTCATCCGTCATTTTCACCCATAGACCGACGAAATGTTCCGAGAATGAAACCCTCTGAGGGGATTCTGTTTATTCGACGTGGGAGAACCAGTTTCGTGCGAAAGGAAACCGAGATAGAAGATGAAATAAAAAATCCAGCCTCTCGGAACTGCCACCAGCGACTGGATGCCAGATGAGATGGCGTTCTCTGCACTGTAGAAACTTGAGCGATTCCTCCGTGAGGACCCCTTCATTTCGCATGGGCTGGAGCTTAGTCGCGGATAGATAGGAGAAAGCGGAGAAACGTGGCTGTGTACTTTGTTTCCACTACGTATAATTATGTCCTTTCGCTTCATACCCTTTTCCTTAACCCCCCCCCCCCCCTAAAAAAAAATAACTCCACTCGGCACGTGACGTTTTGGAACACCCTGTAGAAAAGAGATCAGATTCCCTCTGATGAACAGAGAGTGAGAGAGAGAAGGGGGAAGGGGCGTACTCTAGTGGATGTACCAGACCCAGTCGATGTTGTGTGTGCGTGCGCTGTGTAGATTTGTGCGTGTGGCGATGACGGCGGTGGTTGTGGCTAGGGAAGAAACTTCATGCTGATTCAGCGATTCTCTTCCTGCTTCCTTCCTCCTCGTTTCCGTTACAGCCTATGACAAAGCGTCTCCGTTCGAGTTTCGGAGTCTTTGTGTGACGCTCGAGTCTCTAGCATGTGACAGACTGTGGCTCTGTTCGGTCCCTCATGTGTTTGGAGTGATAAAATGTTCCAGCTCTGTAGGAAGGAAAAAACTGAGGGTGATAAAAAAGAAAAAAAGGACAAGAAAATAAACTCGGGAGAAGGGGACCTGCTGGTTCCTGTCACATGAGCAGATAAGGTTCATCCAACCGTAGTTTGGCTGAGAAGCATGGACCTTATTGGTGTGTGGCCGGGCTCTCCCCTCATGTGGAGGGTGGTTGTCACCCTACACCTGACTCCCTTCCCGTTCGCCCCCTCTTCCCCTCGTATAATACCGATTCACTACACACTGCCCAGATGGGAAACTGGCTTGCAGCTTTGGAGATGTCGCCCGCTTTCCTGCATTCCCTTCCCTGGCCCTTGAATCCCTCCCTTGAGGTCTCTCCTAGTCCAAGCGTATTTATATCATTTTGAAAGGTTATCTGATATTGTGTTGTGTTTTTTGAAACATCAATTTACTTTGTTCTGTTTCAGTGATTACCCTCCTTAACCTATTATTTGGTTGTGTTTCTTTTCCATCTTCTTTCATATATTGATACATTATTTCGCTTCTTTTTTTTTGCCAGGTATATCGAGGAGCATGTGCAGAGAACCGGTGTGGCCATCGAAACCCAGGGGTTCACCTTTGTCACCAGTGGACGAAAGAGGGAATCTCTTACCGTAAGCATTCTTGCGTATTATCAGTCCTATCAACGGAAGTTTTTCCTCAGAGAATGAAAATGTTGGGAAAGGTAACGGGAGACTCAGGAGAGATAAATAGTACCGATAATAGGACTGTGCGGATGTGTCATATGGGCGAAATCCCATTGAGGGGGCCTGACATGAATTTATCTTATATCTTATCAGGGATTCAGGGCTATACATTCGGGGTTTTTCTCAAGCTCTCTTTTTCCATTTCTAGGGGAATGCCACTCTCCACTTGTATCCACACTTTCAACCCTTGGCCGAAATTCCTGGTGAGTGAACTAATCAATCATATTGAAAAAGTACTAACAGGTTGCAAGAACGTTTCTTTATCCATTTATTGAACTTATTTTATTTTCATTAGTAAATTAGCTGAATTGATGGCATGATGGACAAAGTCACCACTAAGCAAGATTAAGCTCCTAAAACTTACATTTAGATGAAAATTTTAGTTGGTAACGATTCTAATGTAATCACAGAAAGACATGATTGGAGAAATTGTGAGAATAGATTAGCTCAGTGTCACAGAAGTAGCACAAATTGGAAATATAAATTAAAATACAATAAGTGTTCATACTGGACATCATCAGTAGTTATGTAATGTAATGTCTGGTTCAACATGGAACATTAGTATTAATTTATTGATTCATGCAACCGAAACACATCTCAGTCACTTCAGACCTTTTCAACTAAATGATTGTGGTTTTTATCTTCTTTTTTTTTTTTAAGCATGGAATCCATCCTAATTTTATGCTGCAACCTTTGAAGTAAGTTTTCAGAGATTCAAAATTTCCAGCTCACTTGTCCCATACTTGTTCACCCACATTCTCGGAAAATGTAAAGAGTAATGGAATGTTAGTATAATATGCGACATTTTAGTTCCTGAAGCTCTTTCTTTGTACAGGATAAGCTAACTTATAAAAATTAAACAAAGGAAAACAAAACAAAATGAAGGAGAGGGAACGAAAGAGTGAGATAGAAAAGTACTGTTGGTGACAAAGCATGATGAACAGAAAAGATAGCAAAATCAAGCTGGTTTGTTGCACTTGAGGTCTATTTGCACAGAGTTGAGTTTTCCAGGATCCCCCGAAAGAAGAACGGAGAGGAGGAGCAGATGTAGAGATGTCCTTCGAGAGTGGGACAGCTCTTCCCTGCGCACCCCGCGTGAGGAAACTTTTGGCCTGCGAGCTGCCCAGTGAAGGGCTGTCCTCTCGGGACAAAATCAACGACCGTCTGCTTCTGCCTCCTGTCCACTTGTCATCCCAGAGTCAGGTTTTCTAGTCACTTTGTGAGACTCATGCCACTCTTATTCTCTCTGGTCTTGATTGGCAGGGGTGGTGGACTACTTGGGGACAGAGATCTCTACATCTCAACAGAAGAAGTTCCCACTGGTAACATTTGTGGATACTCCAGGACTGGTCGATGGGGACATGAAGTATCCCTTCGATGTCAATCAAACCCTTCATTGGCTTGGTAGAGATCCTTTCACATGCTTTTATATGCCTAATGGACTCAATTTTTTATGAACATGGGTGAGAAGTTTGGAAAGGAATTCAAAATAAGCTCTGTTATGAAGAGGTCATTCAAATTCTGCTATAATTCCTCATGAACTGCTAGTATTGATCCATTAAATTGCTCATGAGATATTTATATCCTGCTGAAAAATAAATGTTAATACTGATTTTCCTTTTTTCTAATTTTACTTATATGGCTTTACTTATTGCACTTTTACACAGTAGTCAGAATCTCCTGTTCAGCCAGCATTGGTATATTCAATGGATTCCCCCCCTCCCCCTTTATGATAGACCTAAATCCAGAGATCCTGATTTTCATGAAACAGTTCTCATTTTCATAGCTTGTTGGTAAAAAAAAAATATGAAAACACGAATTATGGCTTGATGAATACCCTAGACAGTAAATGTGTACGCTGTATTATACTCCAACATATTCTAACTGGGATGAGTATAAAATTTTAGTTTCAGATTTGTAGCTTGGAAGACCTCTGAAAAAAAGATCCGTTGATTGTGAATGTGTAATTCTTTTTTGTAGGTGATCTGGCAGATCTGATCTTCGTGTTCTTTGATCCAATTGGGCAGGCACTTTGCAAACGAACACTGAACATAGTAGAGAAGCTGAACGAGAAGCACTCTGAACGCATCCGCTTTTACCTGTCCAAAGCCGATGAGGCAGGACACGAGGCAGATCGACAGAGGTTGGCAAAACCTATGCCTCTGTTTTCCACCATCTTCATTTATCATTTTTAGACTGTGGTGTCTTCATGGAATTTTTTTTTGTAGGGTGATGATGCAGATTGTGCAGGAACTATGTAAAAGGCCTGGATTGAATAAGCAAGGCTTTGATATGCCTACCATCTACATCCCCAATCCCAACAAGGTAGGAATTTACTGAAATTCTATGAAACAAAAGCAAGAAATTAGGATTTTATTTCCTGAAGTGAATTACATGCAAATGATGAAAGCATGGATTTCCACATTTAATGTTTTGAATTTAATAATTATGATACAATATTAAGCAAATGTGTTATTCATGATGGTATCTTTAAGAAGGACTCTATTGACACATTCATACTTATACTTGTAGCTATTCTTAACCTCCAAAAGCAGACAAATAGACATAAAAACGGTACAGTCAACCCTCGATATGGCACCACTGTTGGTCATCACTGATTTTGTTGCTATATTGAAGTAACTATATCTTGTATTATATAGACCTATGGGGACATTTGTCAAGTAGAAGAGGTTGGTGATAAGTGAGTGTGGCACTATATTGAGTGGCGGTAAAATGAGAGTTGACTGTATTTTGAAAACCAGGATCAATAAGTCCATTCATGAAGAGGTTTATTATGAACTATTGCTTTCAAGATGAACCTTTGAAGAAGAGTCATTCACATTCTCCTTTTTTTTTGTTTCACTCACATGTAGTACCTGTTCCTGCCTATGATTGCTTAGAAAATCCAGATGAGACTTGAACTTCTTAACATACTTAACATGAGAGTATGGAAATTCACACAAGTATATGGTGGCAAATAAAAGAAATCATGATCTTCACTGCAGCACATACAGATTGTAGTTATCCTCCTTGAAAGAAGTAAGAAGATATCTAACTTCAAAAGTGGTTCTTCAGCAGACTGTTACTGCACAATTCCATGAAAATGCTCTTCCATCACATCACCAGGGGCATTGTCACCTCCTTGCCTTCTTTACCTCTTGAGTTAATATTTACAGCACCCCTATCAGTCTCTCAAGGCACCCCTAGGTGTCATAACAGATGGGTTGAAAACTGTTGGTGTTCCTGGAGGACTTTTTGATGATCTTTGTCAAGGTTTCTTGAGGGGTAGTTTTCATTTCCATTGCATGTGGTCAGTCCCATCCATCTTGTCCATTAGCATTTGCAATGTGACCCACAAGAGAGCCTGGCCTCCTATTCCTATCCAAGCTAACAATTGGCTCTTGACATCTATACCATGAGGCAATTCATCACTACTATTGCTCCATGTATTCCTGAACCCTTTCCTTCTGAACTCATGCAATGGAAAATGCATGTTCACTATGGTATATGTATCATATGATAAGGAAAATGGGTGTTTTCTGAGTTTCATTCATGTTTGTCCCTGCCATTTTGGCAGTGTCTGGCAGACAAGCTTAGAATAATCCCTGTATTGCATGGCAGACTGCTCAATTTCATGTCCCAGCCAAGTCATTCACAGTTACCCCTTTAATGAGGAAAGGTATCAGATGAATTTGGTGATTGTCAAAATCATGTGTTGAGGAAAAGATTGAATAGATTGATAAACACTTGGTGAAATTTGCAGACAGTGAGGTGCATGAACCAGATCGAAGAGCCATGTAGGGACATAGAGAAGACAATCAACCAGACGATCCAGAATTCACTCAATGCCGTGGAACGGGACTGTGACACGATCGCCAAAGTGATAGACGAACGTCTCGCCTGTGATGCCCAGGCCCGTTCTCACAACCGTCGCACCCTCGTCAAAAGTCTGTCCCTATTGTATTTCGGGATTCACTTCCCTTGTTTCATGGCAAGAAGAGGCCACTGATTTCTGCTTTTCCTTTTGCTCAAACAGGTTTTGCATTTGCATTCCTCAGTGGGTTCTTTCCCTTGATGCTCGTACTCACTATGGTATCACACGGGGTGCTCAAGGGACTCACCCAGAAGACACTCGGCGAGTCTGCTCTCAATACCCTTCAGGGATACACCGTCAGTATATTTCCCCTTTATTTCCCCTTTATTTTCTCTAAATTTATCCATGATCTCAGTTCCTCATTGCTATTACCACATATGTTAAAAATCTATGATGCCAAGAACACCTTTCCTGAGGAACTTAATTAATTTACTGACATACACCAATCTGGTACAGCAAATTTTGATCCCTTTTCATTTTTTCAGGTGAGTGATATAAGTAAATCAAAGAGTGTGTAAATGAAGTGTGGAAGAATACTGTACAAATAAAAGTGGTAGTCGCTTGTAGTAGCCTGCTGTATGCTACATTTAAAACAGACTTACTCTATTTCTTTTTTTGATCATGATACTCCAGAATCTGAGGCATTTTTATTATTATTAAATAAATAAAAGTGATGGGTAACAACACAGAGATTGCATATTGAGACACTCTCTTTCCTTGTAAGTGAAGTTTCCCCATTTACCTCCCTAGTAAGTTCCCCCATTACCCTATTAAGTGGAGGGTTTCTATTTGCATAAACCAGCTAGTTTCTTTCTCTTGAAAATTTTCTCCTATTGATGGTATGTGTGGATCTTTCATAGAGCCCTGTGAAGAAGACGTGGAACATAATCCCCGAAGATTACCGCATGATAGCCTTGACCATGATCTTGGGGTTATCTTTAGTCCTGTTATTCCTCAGGCGATGGCTGCGCAGCCTGCCTACCCTCTCCAAAAAGGAAAAATCTCACCTTGCCCAGACGAAAGACTACGTCCAGTCTGTCGTCATGGCCTACAAGGTTTGTTTGTCCTCTTCCCTTTTATAAATTAATTAGTCTACTTCTAGAAGATGGGAAATACTTACAGACTCTGATAGCAGATTCATTGCATATTTAACAAGTAATCAATCCAGTAAATAGTTGGCTCAGTAAGTCTCTGGATGATGAATACTTACGATACGAATTATGTATACCTACTATTCTTTAGATGTTCATTATTGGTATTGGTAAGCAGTTTCCATTCCTGATACTCAAATGCATTTTTTCACAATGAATATAGGTGTTAATTATTGTATTCAAGTCATTCTGGAGATCTAAGATTGTAGGATTCTGGAATTGAACATAACTCACCAAGAGATTTCTGGAGGATAGCATTTTTCTTGGAGGGAGACTAATATATGTTTGACTGGTGAACCAAATTCATGGCTCCAAAAAGATAGAGAGAGACAGAAGGCAATGCAAGTAAATTCGAATAAGGTGTTGAGAAGGAAAATTATTCAAGTGAATACATTTTTGGGGGGCAGTGATGCATGAGAGTAGATTGGTTTTAGGAAATAGGATGAAATGAATGGAGATTTTTTTTTTTTGCAGGAGAAACTCTATAATGAATATCTGAGCCAGAGTGTGGCTGACCACGACCTCCTATGACCATGGTTAGACCTACATCTCATGTCAACTTGTCTTCAAGTACAAAAAGTAGAGGTCCTGCCGGCGCCATAGTGAGGACCCACCCAAGGAAGAAGGTGACGACATCGAGGCCTCTGTGCCCGAATCCTCCGAATTCTCACAACCTCACTTCTCTTCTAGTAGTAATATTTTATGCATATTTTTTTGGTGGGATATCATGACTTTCAAGATGAATATTTGCATGAATATTTTATGAGGATATTTCAAGGAACATGAATTCCAGTGCACTGTTGTGTG